GAATAGATTAGGACTCTTAATCGGTGTCTTTGGCGGCGTCGCCGTCGCGTCGTTGGGACTAAGGAATTAAGAGTCTCACTACTTCCAATTGACTTCGGAAATGCTATACCCAAGAGGAATTAAGAAACATAAGAGTGCATCTACCAGGTACCTTGTGAATGCAGTGAGTCGTATATTGGAACGACAAAACGTACCTACTTTAAATGACTTTAATGAACACAAAAGACCATAACAGAGAAGTGAAACAATGAAGTAAGATAATACAGACCATGTATGATCAAGGCAACACAAAATGAAGTGCCCGGAAGCTCGTGTTATTATATGAAAGTTGGAAATAACAATTTTCTCTCATAACAATCTTCTGAAACAAAAAACAAACCGAAATACGTCTTGAACCTTGCTCATTAACGATTGCTCGGAAGCACAACGCACGGGGAATATTTACCGAACCGCCAGCATGTCATTTCGGAGACGCAGCAGCCTCGTACGGCATCCGAACTGCATAATTATTTTTCTCGGTCGATTTGCACCGAGCAGAAGGAAGCCGAACAAACAGAAACCCGTACGTTCTCTCGAAATAACGGCCTCACTGTTCGGCTTCCATAATATTCGCCTAATTGCTCGAGTTACTTTAAGAGCGTCCCCCCGCAATTAAAGCGGCAGTAAAGAATAGAGGAGAACGTCGTTCCTGACAGAGGATGTCGGCCACGCCATAATTTGCAGGAACGAACGAGGGAGCGAACGAACGACGCGACGCAGCGGTCTGGCGTGGAGAGGATGCGGTTAGTGTTTCCACTGGGGAGAGGAGTATTTCAAAAGAAAGACGGGGGATAGAGTCTGGCAATGAAACTATTCCTAAGATAATGTAGGTAGTTATTTTAGGGAACAAAGAAAGTAATTAAATAATGGCATAAATGCCAGGACATAAAACTAAAGATATTTCAGTGTGTAGGTATCTATTTATTTTTACCGGCTGGCTCTTTAAATGTATGGTTGTTTAAATTGATATGTGAAGATATTGAAGGTGTACAATAATAATTAATATTGTGTTATACAATGTAATAAAAATAAATGTATTCCTCATGCAGTTGTAGATGTTAGTAATGTATGGCAATCGCTTCTTTCATTTTAAAGAACATAACATAAACAACATATGTAAAAATTAAAAACAAATTAAAAGTAATCATACAGAAAGTTTGGGGCTTTTTGGTTTAACCTTATTAAGTAATTGTTATCAGGTAGTAATGTTGAATTTTGAAGTATAACTTGGGGGGGGATATAATGTCATTTTAACAGAACGTCAACGGTTTTTGTAGACCATTTGTAGACGTATCTGTACAAAGAATATATTAAATTTGAAATATTTTTGTGCCAAAAGTTCACCAGAAACTGTTTTATTATCATTTTTTCGAAGAAAAACTTATGATTAGTTTAAGAAAATAAAAAGTTCCCAAATTTCTCATTTCAGTCAAATAACTATCTACTCAACATGTTTATTTTTAGTCAATAATGACTGTATTGACTATTTCCATTGAAAATATCTTGTGAACGGTTGCTCGTAGCGATTTTTACCAAGAAACATTTTTTACGTAGAAAGTCACGGAAATGTACATTTTTTTACTCAGTAGTTTTATACAAGTACGGAGAGAAAGTTATTACTCTTCAAAATAGTTAAAACACATATAGGTGGCGCCCCCTACAAATAGGAGTCATGTTGACATCAAAATCAAATTTCTCATGTCAAAAAACTCCTAGACACCAATTTTCATCTAAATATTGACGATATTTCAGTAATTATTTGGCAAAAATCGATAAAAATGAAAATTCTACACTCTGTATCTCCAGAACTACTATAAGCATTTTAGGACATACATTTATACGAACATTTTTACATATTTTTATCTGCAGAATATGCTGCCGAAGTTTCCGGAATACAGTTCGGACCACCCTGTATATCGAGAAACTATGGTTACGCTCGTTGAATTTGTTTGATGTTTTTGTTGATTGTTTAATAATATATTTTCGTACATTCATGCTTAGGCGTAAAAGTGCTTTACTTTTATGCCTAGGCGTTGAAATGACTTTTTTATATTGTCATCACTTTTGTGACGTTTGAAAAAAATATATATGAATAAATTTTATTTACTCTTTCGAGGGAAGGAACTTTCTGTCTTGTTTTTACCTGTATAATCAACCACCGAAGTTAGATACACTATTTTTTTTGACACCCTGTATGGAACCATCGACAATTTAACACTGTTCTAAAAATGTCGATGGTTCTATACAGGGTGTCAAAAAAATAGTGTATCTAACTTCGGTGGTTGATTGTACAGGTAAAAACAAGACAGAAAGTTCCTTCCCTCGAAAGAGTAAATAAAACTAATTCATATATATTTTTTTCAAACGTCATAAAAGTAATGACAAATAAAATATCTACAAATAAAATATCTCTTATTACACTTATACCGTCCTTCAAAACTCCCAAAACTCGACCCGCAATATTTACTAAAGCCGTCCACACACGAAGCCTTGGTCAATATTTGCCGAATCGGGTTTCTCTCTCAATTAAGCCCGCTTCGCCAAAGTAATTATTGGAAAAAAGCAGTGGCGTGTTTCGGCTACCGATCCCCCAAACGCACATTTGCATAATTGTGTAAATGGATTTTTTAAATTTAATGGCGTTTCTTCTTCTTTGTCGCGTTCTCTCCGTTTTTCTTCTTCTTCTTCTTCGAATGGTACTTGAGGGATTTAAGTAATAAAACTTGCCGCTTTAATTGATGACGTCCGTTTTTTCTTTTCGCATTTCGCGATAGAGTGCGAGAGAGTAAGAGCACCGTTAAAAGAGACAAGAGACCGGTTAGTGCGTATTCTTTATGGAGAGCGGCTAAGTGCATTTGAAAGTTATTTTAATGAATATTACCGTCCGATCGGTTTAATTGGAAGCGCTAAAATAAGACGGTTATCGGATCTTTTAAACTTTAACTTCGAAAAGTGCGAAAAAAAAACTAGTTCTCACTTGTGCTCTTCAATAGAGCTACAAATTGATATGGATCAGAATAACTAGTAACTGGAATGTTTTGAAATGTAATATCAAGTAAATGTCGACGCTCTTTTTATTAATATTTATTTGAAGGTTAATGGCTAAGAACCTTGGATAATGTGACGACGTTTTTTGAACCTAATTCAGGGCCGGGTTTATCGTACGGGATACATTGCAAAAGTATTTTTTTGCGCGGGTGCTAGATATCACAAGCATTGTCATCCACAATTCTATAAATCATGTTCCACAACCCCTGGACTATCAAGGGACGTAGGATGTCCCTTAGATGCTGATATTTCAGGCCAAATACTGAAGGTACTCCATTATATCCGGGAAAATGGACAAGAAAACCATGTACATGACAACAGAGGAAGATACAGCTGATTTACAAATAGAAGACCACCTGGAAATAAAGGGAACCAATAACTTTAAATACCTGGGATTTACACTATCGAAAAACGCAACTACGGAAGAAGATATAAATGTCAGACTTGGACAGACAAGATCCTGTATACAACAACTGCACTCCGTTATCTGGGATAGAAATATCAGGAAAAAGACTAAAACATTGATATATGAAACAATTATTCAGAGTATCATGACATATGCAGCAGAAGTATGGGTCATAAACAAAAACAACCAAAGAAAAATTCTGGCCACCGAAATGATGTATTGGAGAAGATGCTGTGGACTAACCAGAAGAGACCGAGTCACGAATGAGGAAATAAGAAGAAGAATGGGGAGAAAGACCGACGTCTTAAAGTACATAGAAACGAAAAGATTGGTATGGTACGGTCATGTTAGAAGGGCGGAAAATAGATGGATTAACAGAGTGACAGAGTGGAGCCCGATTGGAAGAAGAAAGCGAGGGCGGCCAAGAAGATCATGGCGAGATGAAGTGGACGAGTCTATGCATCGGAGAGGACTACGAGAGGGAACATGGGATGATCGAGACGAATGGAGGACCCGGTTGATGGAAGGAAGGCAGCCAGAGCTGTAGAATCCTTTATATGTATGTATGTAAAATGGACAAGAACAATATACTCTGAAGAGTTGCTTTCCAACACACCAACACACCTATTTTTGAAAAAATTGATTTCCAACTCCTTCATTGATATTGTTACTTATAAACTTATTATGCAATTTTCTTTTGTTTATGATGCTTTCCGGAAATTCCAAACCAAACCAAACCAAACTCACGAATAGTTGTTTTTTTTTGTTAAAATCTGATTAAACAAACACTTCAAACTTTCTGAGTTGCTTAAAGAGACTCTAAGAACAATTGTATAAAAAAAACTTGACAAATAAGCTATTATTAGTGAAAATATGAATAAAAAATTTTTTTTGCCCAACGAATGTTTGCCCGGTTTTTTTATTGTCATAAAATATGACAAAATTCAAACAAATTCCAAATTGTGATAGCTGTTGATTCTACCTTGAACTTTAAATCATCAAAAAATATTAAATTTTAGCCGAGTTATTATACAATTTGTCCTATGAATCAATGATGCTCTTATGAAATCTATCTCCGGAGCGTTAAGACTTGGAGAGAAAATTCAAGGTACTAATTCTACGTAAAAAAATGATAAAGACTATTTTTATAGGTAATTACCTAAGCTTCATTTTTTATTCCAAGAAAAAATTAGTAAATTGTATATTTTGGCAGATATTTGGTACACAATCCGCTTAAAAAGTCTTGGGTCTTTTCGTTTCCTTATTTACTGAACTATATAATATTATGCGCTAAAGCTATTCAATCAATCCAATATAGATTGTAGATTTCTTTACAATGTATTTATATTATCACTTAATCTTAATACTATTCGTATGATTAGTGGAAAACTTACGTCTCTGTAATCCTTTACGTGATATTTACGTATAAGGTCACCTTTATTGAAAAATAAATGACTTTTGAAATTTTTAAATTGACTGAAATTTATTTTTTCTCTTTTTTTTTCAGTGGGCGGCATGTCGCGGCCCCCGAAACCAGCCGCAACCGTCAAGAAGGTGGCCCCGCCGGCAGTGCCCCACGAGTTCCGCCATTCTGGAAGTTCCTTCGGTAGTGCCGGCTATGGAAGCTCGGAGGATGGAAGCGGGGGATATCTGGCGCCCAGCGAACAGTCTGGAGTACCAAGAGGTGAGTACTTCATTAGGCCTAGACAAATCTAAATCTAAAAATACTTCATTAAATTGTTAAAAGTCGTTAGGACTTAGATCGAGACTGTATGGATGATGGTCCAACAATTCGATGTTTTCTTGCTTTAACAAACTCAATTGTTTTTCGAGCAGGAGGATCGTTCGTCATATTGAGGGTTGGTTTTTTGAAACTCAGCAATTAGTTCCGACAAACAAAGAGATATGTACCAATCAGCAGTAACAGTTCCTTGATCTTGCAGAGGAATTGTTGCTATATTGCCCGTTTTTAAGACAAATATCGCCACCATCTATCTGATTCATCACAATGCACTATACTGTACATATTTTTAGCATGACAATACTAATATAATACATATTAGTATGACAATACTGTATATATTTTTTGAGTTTCTTGCGTTAAACCGGTGTAGAGTTTTTTGACACCAATTAACTATAATTGCTTTATGTTCTTACGTCAACAAATGTACTGTCAGCAAACTATTTTTTACAGTTAATTCTTCATCTAATTTTTTTGATTAAGGTTTTTGAAAGGCCCAATAATGCTTCAGTTTCACGATATGTGACATATCGATCTTTTTGGATCAAAAGACACGTTCTTTGTAATCATCAATACGAAGTACGAAGTTGATTAAAGAATTCATAGAGAAGCTGAACAAATTAGGCAAAGATAATAAAGTCCCCCTACTCTGGGTACCAGCCTACCAAGGGATAGAAGGCAATAAAAGAAATAAACGATCTAGTCATGGGGCTTTTAACAGGACACAGTCTCCTCAACGAACACCTCAATAGATTGAAGCCAAAAAACAACGGTGAATACAGATCCTGTGGGGAAAATGAGGAAACACCACACACCTCATCACTGACTGCGCCGAGACGACAACCATTCGTGCCATGAACTTTGGTACTACTGATATTAGAGATGGAGAACTAACCTCTGTAAAACCGTCTCAGATACGGGCTTTTCAGTTTAACTCTAAGAAAGGAGTACACAATAGATCTGTAAGGTCGCTGTGATTAACCCCCCCCCCCCTCATACCAATCTACATTCTACAAAATTGTTTTAAGTACATAATTGGAAGCTTGTGTAATAAATTTTTCGTTCTAAAGAATTTACTTGGAATTAAAAAAGACATGGAAAGCCCTCAAAACACTATACTTTTTTATTACAAGTTCGGGGTAAAATATAAAGAGTTCCTAGATCATTAGACATTCTTTTCGGTCAGTTCTTTTGGGCGAAAGTATCTTTTTTTCTGCTGCAAAAGTCGAAAACTAATCCTATCGAGCAGGAGGTCATTAATCTCCGTTTAAGATGCTCCTAAGGGTAGATTTTTATAACAGATAATCCATCATCCGTCCCGTGCCCGTGACAGGGTATCTTGTTCGGATATAAGGGCTAAAAGAAAACGTCGATCTTTTTCCTTGTTCAAGATTTAAACTTCATTTGCTCCCGATTGTTTACTCCGCACATGCTTAAGTTTTTTTTCTGGACGATATTTTTTAAGTTGCTTTTGATTATTTAGATAAGTTATTAATGATTAAGTTTCCCCAACAATTTGATAATCTACCAGAAGTTTTAACCTCATTTTTAAAGTGTAATAGTTAAAAATTATTATTTAATAATTACTTATTAAGTAGACGTAATCCAGAACACAGCCATGAAAATGGCTTTGAGTGCTTTCTTCACCAGCTCCATTCCTAGCCTCCTCTGTCTCTCTGAAATTATATACACAAATCAGTTCATAACGTTCTTCGCCGTCTTCTGATTTCCAGTCTCCATTTTTCTCTGTCTGCCCATAGGTTTTCGTCTATCTTCTTATTCTGATGTACTCGTCTATTCCTTCTCTCCAACTCCGTCTAGGTCTCCCTCTCTTTCTTTTACCTTGTTGTGTCCAATTGAGTACTTTCTTTGAGATTCTGCTCTCTTCCATTCTTTGTACGTGCTCGTACCACCTGGGTTGGTTAATTTTGATATCTTCTGTTATTCTGTGTTTAACCCCCATGGTGTTCTGAATTCTCTTATTTCTTACTCTATCCAGTTTCGATTTCCCGGCCGCGCGCCTCCAAAAGTCCATTTCTGTAGCTTCGAGTGACTTAAGGTTTTTTCTTTCTTTCTAAGGCCATACTTCACTACCATAACTAATTATGGTTTTAACTATGCTGTTATAAATTTTGTGTTTGTTTTGTTTTGTTTTGATATACTGCCTTATCTCATAGAATACTGTTGAGTTGTCTAATTGCTTATTTTTTCTGGTTGTTTCTGTACTTAATTTCTTCATCAAGGGTACCATCGTTGGTAAAATGTGCATGCCAAGATATTTATATTTTTGGCAGTGTTATCTCTTGCTGTTGTTGTTCTATTCGCCGCCGATACACATATATTCCATTCCGTCTTCTTAAGGTCTCTCTGAAACTCCTTATTTTAAATATCTTCGTTTTTTACTTCTCCTTCACTATGTCCTTCTGTCCATATATCCCCAATACTTACGTTTTTTAATTATTTTGTCAATAATTAATGAAGTAGAATATGCATTACACACAGCTACATTCCTAATGTTATTTCTTTGTATTTCATATCTTTCGTTGGTAAGTAATCAATGAACATAGAAATTTAAAGTAGCCATCTTATGTTCAACACTATGATATGACTCATTAGGAATATATCTGCGTGTAGTGGTATTTTTTCTATAGAAATCAAATTCCAGGCAATTATTAATATTTCTAATAACTAATACATGTAGAAATGGTCATCTATCGTTGTTCCCATAGGTAAATTTAATGGAAGGCAGACGATTATTTAATTTAGAAATAAAATTATCTATGGTGTCAAAATGTGTGTCAAAGACGGTAAAAAATCATCTACATACCTAAACCATACTCTTGGAAAATACTCTAACTTATTTTAGCCTCTACTTCAACTAACCTAACCTAACCTGCTCATGAATAAATTAGCCAAAAATGTAGACAATGGATTACCCATTACCGTACATTCCCGCTGTTCAAAAAAGTTGTTATAAGTTGTAAGTTTATATATTGAATTACAGTTTTGTTGTGGAGACCAATCGCGTTCAGTAATTTCTTGAAGTAGCCTAAAGTATGTCGAATTGGGACACTTGGAAACAACGAAGATACATCAAAGGAGACAAAAATTTCACCATCATGTAATGATATATTTTTACTTTTGTTAATGAACTCTATATTGTTTTTAACTGAGAAAGAGAGGCAAAATAAAACACTAAATCATCACAATACGCTTTTTACAAACATGTTTACTTTTAAACTGGACGCGCGTTTCGCTAACCATGTTAGCATCATCAGCAGATGATTAAAACTAAGTTATTAACCTAGTTTTAATCATCTGCTGATGATGCTAACATGGTTAGCAAAACGCGTGTCAAGTGTAAAGGTAAATGTGTTTTGGTGTATGTAGAATGTTTTAGTTAATCACCGCGACCTTACAGATCTATTGTGTGTTCCCCTGTCTTGAATTATAACGAGCTATAACTCATTATACAGTCATACAGTTTAACAAAAGCCTGTATCTGAGACGGCGCCACAGAGGCCAGCTCTCCATCCTTGACATCATCCTTACCAAAATTCATGGCACGAACGGCCGTCGTCTCGGCGCACTCAGTGATAAGGTGTTCTGCTGTTTCCCCATTTTCCCCACAGAATCTGCATTCGCCGTTGTTTATCAGCTTCAGCCTACTGAGGTGTTCGTTGAGGAGACAGTAGTGTCCTGTTAGAAACCCCGTGACAATCTGAAGATTGTTTTTACTTAAATCAAGGAAAATCTTTGATTTTTCTCGGTCTTAAGTTCTGAGGAACTTTTTCGAGTGTCTTAGACCGTTGGAGGACACCTATTCCAGGTTACGGATGGAGTCTTCCAGATTCTTCAGATCCGCTTTCAGTTGGTTCCCGCTTGGAAAGCAGAACGGTCCTGGTCCAGTTAGTGTAGTATTTGTTCATTTGCTAGCTAGATCATTTATTTTTTCATTGCCTTCTATCCCTTGGTGAGCAGGCACAAGTTTTGATGCATTGTGGTGATCTAGTGTTTTTATTTTGCTATTGTGACACCAACTGTAATCTGAAAAAGATGTTCTGGTTAGGTAAATTTTCGAACTCCCTTTATAACCATTTTGCCAAATTTTAAGTCGGAGAGCCAGAGCTGAAACAATTGGGCGCATAGATTTATCCGGCTTATGACTTTTAGGCATACACTTTTTTTTAATACATGCAGTTTTATTTTTAAAGGAATATCAATCAAATATTGCTTTTAAATACCAGTTTCGCCCCTCACTATTGCCCTATAAATATATTTAAAATATGTGCATTAGGTAATATTCGCTCTTTATTTTACAAAAATGAGAGGATTGACTATAAAGTATCTAACAGAAATCTTGATATGGATTTTTTTAAAAACTGTGTAAACTATGTAGTTAATAAGTAGCGTAACAAATAAATGAAAATGTATTGTTATAAAAATATACGATATTCAATACATACAAGAAACAGGAGAAATCAAGATTAACAGGACTGTCAAAAGTAAACGGCACAATTTGTGGATATTTGCCATGAGCGATCGATTTGTGCCATTGTATTTTATTCTGTCTCGTTTCTCAAGAAGTCGAAACGCCTTTTCTCTGCCATCGCAACGAATCTGCAGCATCAGATGTTGCGCATACGATTTATTTATCTCTCGGTCGCATCGCGAGTTCAGGGCTGCGAGCAGGCGACTGACCAGCTCTTATCGCTCTTGGCGCAAGGTCGCTAGGTGTCGAGTCTGGGCCGTACGGGGGACAGGTTCTTTGTTTGCATCGCCCTTGGCTATCTTTATGACGAAAAGTACTAATAGGCCGGGAACCAATGACCGTCTACAGTATTTTTTCTTACAAAAATTGGTACAATATTCAAGAATCTGCCTTTTCCGTTTTGGTAAAACACTAACCCACATAATTCGCACACACCGTGAATTTTAAATAC